GTAGAACTTATTGAAAACTCAAGACAGCCATAACATTATATTTTTTTACAAGTGTATGTAAACTTTTGACCACAACTGTACATACAAACACATACAGACCCGACCCGCAAAGCCGGAAGCCGACATAAGGGAGACCAGCACCAAAAACCCCGAGAGGGACCCCAAGCATGCGGCCTCAGAGACACCCGCGCTGGAAGGGCCGCCCACCCACCCACCAAAGGGGACCACAGGAGAGAACCGGGAGAGCCCCACCAGCGACCACACACAGTAACCCCTGGGGCCAGCAGCAACAAACTCACAGGCCCTGCCGTTACCCAGCGCGCCAAAGCAGATCCAGGCATGGACACAGAAGCCCGGGCCCCCAGGGCACACCTCCCCCAGGCCAAGGCCCGACAGGGCCAGAGGAACCCAAGCCCCACTGGGCAGCCACCGGGCCGAGCTGGCATAYGCACAAGCACCCAGCCCTGGACAACGAGAGCCATGATCTGATTTCCAAGACAAATAAAAATATATAAGATCATAGCTACCATAGTTTTTATTTCCATCCTCTACATGATGTAAAAAAAAAGGCAAAAACTTTGGTCAGTTTTTAGGAATCTCATAGCTCTTTGCTAAAATCAAATCTTTTGCTTAGTCACTAGTTTTTCAAGCACAAAACTTTTAGTTTCCTGTAGATTTTTAAATATGTTTAATATGACTGCTGTGACAAAGAAGATAACCTCTTTAGTTTATAGAAACTTTACAAATGATCTAATGTTTTCTTCTTTTTCCATTTTTTTATTTTACCTGTAAAATGCTGCTTGTGCTTCTAGGTGCAAAGCAAAATCTTCCTGCCAATGCCACAAGAGAGAGGTAACAAGTCTGGGGTTTTTTTGTCTGAAACATTTTTCATCTGAATCGGTCTTTGCTCRTTGCAGCCATGAACTCACATTTTAATTTATCATAAAAAAATCCATAAAGGACTTTGTTTTAAAAAATCCATTAAATGATAAAGTTTTTATTTGTGTGCAACCATGAACTTGATTTCCATTTGTCACAATCCTAAAAGTTTTAGTTCTAAATTTGATTTTGTGTGTGCCTGTTAAATTCACTGGTTGTACTTAAAACAAAAGAACCTGCCTTTTTCCTCTTTTTTTTAACCTTTATGAACATGCACGCACTGACAGATGTGTGTACTTTCAGTCTTACTCTTACTGGGAGTTCAGTGGAATAATTGTCATTTTCAAAAAAACAAGTGCAGCAAATCCGATATTTGTCGGTATTTCATTTTTGCTAAATCGCCTTTCAGTGTGTGGAAAATGTAGTCCAAATGAAACATTATTAAAYGTTAGATTCCATTCATCGTTTGCATTCAGTGGCCTGTGCAGAAAAGGCTTACCGATTTACAGTAAGTGTGCAGGATGTTCTCACCTTTAACTGAACATTTATATCATTTTGCAAATAAGTGCAAAATTCAGTCATAAATATGTGCATGTATAGCACAAGTTATGGAAAGAAAAAAGTGCACAGTTTTCTTTTACCATACCATCCTGTTTAATTTTTATTATTAATTTTTTGTCAATGTGAAGGAAAATTTAAAAGGGAGCATTTCTCATCAAATAGCAAGCTGGATGCTCGTAGATACACATCTTGTGCTTATGTAGCACTCAGCTTCAGCGCCTGAACAAAATGCTGACAGAAACAAAAGTGGATTTTCTCAGCAGAGCAGCATATTTATCAGCTTCCTCTGCCAGTAAAACTCAGTGGAACAGTGTTTAACATCACCTACATATGTAAAACACCGTCATCATCATATCTGCAATTGAAATTAAACCACAGCAGCAATTCAGACGGAGTGTTTTCTGAGCAGAAGAACTCAGGAGATAAAACTGCCACAGGGACAGAGATAATTTATTGAGATCATTACATAGGAACAAACTACTCATCTTCATCTTCTAACAAACACGATTTGATTATTTTCCAGGCTCATCCTTTTTTAAAATACTCATCATCTTCTTCAGTCCCAGAGTACAGTTGTTTCCATCTGAGGGGTGTTTTCTTACACCTCAAATTCAAATACAGTGGCAGTGATTAAACACCAGCTGTAGGAAAGACCACCTCACAGTGTGTGATGCATGCAAGCCCCCCACCCCCACCCCACCACACAGGCAGAGATTCCAGAGAGGTTCTCAAGAGTTTTGTGTTTTTAAAGCTGAAACTCGTTTTATTTGAAGTCTGACAGTGGTTGACGTGAGCAGGAAGTTCAAGACGGGGATGAGATGAAAAGAATAAAAGCTGCAGTTTCACTTACCTGGTATTTGTTATGTCACATGTCTTTTTTTCTCATTTTTTTTTACAAAGGAAAATATTCTAACAAGAGGAAAAAAACAACTCTGAAGGTTCACCCACCCACATACCCACAGGTGTGTGAACTAACTCACTTTTACCTATCTATCTATCTATCTATCTATCTATCTATCTA